TGAGTACATTTAAAGGATTATAGCACTTAGTAAATGTTAGAGGAGACTGTTTCCAGAATTTTGTAGGCGAGAATAATTTCTTGGCCAGACTGGTATAAGCCTAGAGCCACCTTCTCAGTATGGAACCCAGGCTGGAGTTCTTCCAGTCCCATGATGACCCGTTTCCACACTTACGAATGTGTTCTACAGCCCTTTCACAGAGAAGCTTGCTGCTGGAAATGGGGTTGAACATGAGTGACTCCAGGAGCTACTACTTCATCCTTCTCTTTAGCTTTCTGGCAGCTCTACTCAGTTATTTTGTTTAAGAAACTAGAAAGCAACCTGCCTTGAGCACTTAAAACTTGATTACAAAGCACTTTGTTTTCATTTTGCTTCTGTTGCTGACTTAAATTTTGTATCTGAGGGTGAAAAATCAAACCCTTTTTGGTTTCTTATTATAAGACATTACTATTCAAAAATTGTATTGAAATGTTTACTTTTCTTTCTTCACTTCTGTTAGAATGTGTGTATTTAATAATTAACTATTGACTGTTGGCCAGAAAACTTCTGGGCTCCACAATACAAAAATCCAGCTTCCTATATGTATCTTTCCCATCATACAGTGGCCTTTCTGGGAAAGAGATATTTTATGATACACTTCAAATTCAACTTTTATTCAGTTGGACCTAACTTATTTTTTTGCATAATTTACTTCATTCTTTTTAGTTAATTCTTTCTAAATATATCCTTAGCATTAATTCATTTTATATATACTATTTTTTTTATTTTATTTTTTCTTAAAGATTTTACTTATTTATTTGCAAGGGGGAGCATGGAGGGAGAAGTAGACTACCCACTGAGCAGAGAGCCGGATGTGGGACTTGATCCCATGACCCTAAGATCATGATCTGAGGCGAGGCAGATGCTTAACTGACTGAGCCACCTAGGTACCCCTTTGTATACTACTTTTTTTTTTTTTAAGATTTTATTTATTTATTTGACAGACAGAGATCACAAGTAGGCAGAGAAGCAGGCAGAGAGAGAGGGGGGAAGCAGGCTCCCTGCTGAGCAAGAGCCTGACGTGGGGCCCGATCCCAGGACCCTGGGATCATGACCTGAGCCGAAGGCAGAGGCTTCAACTCACTGAGCCACTCAGGCACCCTTGTATACTATTTATTATGTGTACTTATCATTAACTCAAGATACTTATTTTCATCAAATATTCTATTTCATTTTACCTGGTCGAACCTGGACTGATTTCCCTCTATACTAGTTGTATAGCTACTTTCTTTTATTTATTTCTCTTGAATTGAATCTTTGGTTCAATCTTTCTGAATTGTGTGTTTTCCTTTTAGTTTATTACTTTATTCTGATAGAATGCATTTTCTAGAAGCATCCTTAGAAAGGGTATTGGAAGTACAGCTGTCCTCAACTCCCTTGAACGATGCAGGAGTTAGGGGCATTGACCCTTGTACAGTAGAAAAGCTATGTATAACTTTGGACTCACCCAAAACTTAACTACTAATACCCTGCTGCTGATCTGAAGTTTAATGATAGTCGATTAACATGTTTTATATGAGATAGAGCAAGAGAGCATGAGCAGCAGGGAGGGGAAGAAGGCTTTTCATAGCTCTTCAGTTGAGCACAGAGCCCAACACGGGGCTTGATCCCAGGACCCTGGTGTTATGACCTGAGCTGAAGGCAGATGTTTAACTGAACTGAGCCACCCAGGCGCCCCTGGAAATGTCTTGTTTTCTACTCACATCTTGATTGGTAGTTTGGGTATAAAATTCTGGCCTATAAATTTATTTTCCTTTAGAATTTTGTGTTACTTCATTGTCTTCTAGTTTCAATTATTTTTGTTGAATAGTCTGATTTCTGATTGTTGGTGTGACTTTTTTCCCTCTCCTTCTAGAACTTGAAACATTTTCTTTTCATCCCCAATGTTTTAAAATTTCCTGACGATTTGCCGTGATTTGGTTCTGTTTTGATCCATTGTACTGAGTCTTTCAATCTGGCGACCAAGTTCTGGGAAATTTTCCCGAGTTAGTTGTTGGTTCTTTCTTTTTTGTAGTTCTTTCATTCGAATTGATTGAATCCTGTTCTCTGAATGTTCCTTTAAAAAAAAAAAAAGGTATCCTGTTCTTGTTTCATGGTTGCATTATCTAACTGAGGATATTGGTTTTTTAAAGTTTTATATTTATTTTTAATGTTTTTATTTAAATTCAATTAATTAACATATAATGTATTATTTTTAGTTTCAGAAGTAGAGTTCAGTGATTCATCAGTCTTACACAATACCCAGTGTTCATTACATCACTTGCCCTCCTTAATGTCCATCACCCATTTATCCCATCACCCCACTCCCCTCCCCTCCCCTCCAGGAACCCTAAGTTTGTTTCCTATGATTAAGAATCTCTTATGGTTTGTCTCCCTCTTTGATTTTTGTCTTTTTTTAAATTTTTCCCTCCCTTCCCTTGTAGTCCTATTTTATTTCTTAAATTCCACATAAGAGTGAGATTATATAATTGTCTTTTCTGTGACTGACTTATTTCACTTAGCATAATACCCTCTAGTTCGATCCACATCCTTGCAAGTGACAAGATACCATTTCTTGATGGCTGAATAGTATTCCGTTGTATATGTGTACCACATCTTCTTTATCCATTCATCTTTTGATAGGCATCTGGACTCCTTGCATAGTTTGGCCATTGTGAACATTGCTGCTATAAACATTGAGGTGCAGGTGCCCTGTCAGTTCACTGCATTTTTATCATTGGGGTAAAGACCGAGTAGTGTAATTGCTGGACATAGGGTAGCCCTATTTTCAACTTTTTTGAGGAACCTTCATACTGTTTTTCCAGAGTGGCTTCACAAGCTTGCATTCCCACCAACAGTAATACTGAGTTTTTTTTAAAAGACCTTTTCTTCTACGTATATAGGCTGTATTCCCTCTAGTATTTGTTGATTGATTGATTTTTTTTAAATTTCATGGTAGAATTTTTCATCTGATGTCTGATCATTTTTGAAGAGTGGAAAGCTGAAATGCTGATAAGGTCTCTAGATGAATATGGCTTGCAAAATATGAGGTGAATTGTACAGTGTACTAGCTGATACATTTTAGGGGTGAATTCCTGCTTTAGTATATTCAGAATTTTCCTCTTGGGCCTGTGAGATTCCCCAGGGACTCTTTCAGCCTCCTGAATGGCTAACAATGTTCTGGGAGCTAGATGGAGGCAACTGGGGGTCTCTGTTTTCTCTCATTTTAATCCCTTGCTTTTGGTAGTATTCTCATCTTTTAGTGTGCCTGAAGATGGTTCGGGTACTCTGTGTTTTTCCTTCTCCAGAGAATAAAATTAGTCTTTCGTTGGATAGGAAAATAGTGGCTGCTCAGTGCAATGGATAGAATATTGAGGGATAATTGTTTCTTAATTCATTTGTAACCAGTCTGTTCTACCCACCCACCCACCCCCAGCTTCCACTTCCAAAGATAATTTGTACCACTAGTTTCTGAGTCTTTTAGGAATCTTGGTGTAACTCAGGTTGGGTCCTAGTTTTCCTCACAGCCAGCTTAAAATGCTAGTATTTTGAATCTTCTAAGTCAGTTACCCCTCATCCATTTACTTTATAGTTTCCAAGATGTTGTTACTATTGTCTTGTCTTCTAGTTATTCCTGAGGTTTTATACCTGTTTAAACAATCTTGGACTGTAGTTTCAAGATAGTGTGAAATTAGATGTACACGTTCAGCTTATTCTCTTTATCAGAAGTTCCAAAAGTAAAAATTATTTGTGTTCATATTTAAAAATTGCAAACCTGTGTATAAAGGTATGAAATAAAGAATAAAACATTTTCCTCTACTTTTCCCCAGAATACACACCACCCAGAGGTAACTAAAATTAACATGTGTGCCCTCCCAGATATTTTTTATTTATATTTTTATTTATGTAGAATAATGCATTTAATATGAAGAAGCAAAAATGAAATTTTACTATATAAATACACATATGGCATATAGTATAAACATATGCTATGTGTATTTAATATATGTTGAAATTATGAAGTTCTGTGTGATCTGTACATCAATATATATATACAGATGTCTTAATTTTTAGCTGTTTAATACTATCACATTGTATGAGCTTTTCCTAATAAGAGCGCAATTGTTATGATACTTGTTTCCTATTCATCTTTTTAATATTATTACCAATAGTGCTACTATAAACATTCAGTTACACATACTTTTTTACTACTTGTTATAGCTTTTGTTTAATTTTTAAGATGGAATTATTTAGTCAAAAAGCCATATGCACTTTACTCTTCAAATAGGTTATGCCTCTACTAATTAGAGTGTTTTTTTTTTTTTAAGTGTTTTTTTTAATACCCTGTGTGACTTAGCTATTACCAGGTTTTTAAATCTTTGGCATTCTGTTAAATGACAAATGCTATCTTGTCATTTTAATTTGCTTGTTCTAATTATGTGGGAGGTTAATTGTGCTTATTGGACATTCTTTTTTTTTTTTTTTTTAAATGAGCTGCATATTCAGTTCACTTAGCCATTATTCTTTGGGTTATTTATCTTTTCCAGGTCAATTTGTAAGAAGAGCTCATTATATGGGAAGAATATTGCCATTTATTCCTCACATGTCTTGCAGCTATTTCCTCAGAATTGTCCTTTATAATTTTGACATGGCTTACTGCATTTTTGCTATGTGGTCAATATATTTTAAAATGAAAAATTATTGAACAAGTATTGGCTTTACTCTCCCCAGCCCAAATTATTTTCTCTAGAGTTTTAAAATGTTAATCAAGTATTCGAACTATTGGTTTAACTTTAGTAGGTATCAACAATACTTTATTTCAACTAACTAGTTTATAGAATAAATTAAAATTTTCTTTAATTCTGATTCTAACTTTAAAAAGACCATTACCTAAAAAAAAAAAACACCACTAATTAAAAGACTGCTAATTAAACTTCATATTCAAATATCTTGTTATTTAGCAAAAAAACTTATTTTTTCAGTGTTCTACGCAAGAGTTCTTCTTGATTGTCAAAACCCTGTATCATCTGCAGTCAGAATTTCAAGCATTAATACCTGCTGTTAATTCCCACGTTCGGTCAGACTTGCTGCAGACATCTCTTTTAGAAATTCCTGAACTCCTTAGTCCAGTGGAGCGTTACTTAAGGATCCTTAATGAACAAGCTGCCAAGTAAGTTGTAGACTCTTAGATTACTGTCACTGCTGGAAAGGAAAAACTAACAGATATGCCATTTGTTGTGTGCATTCATAAGCTTCCCTCATGGTACTGGTAGAAGTTGCACTTGAAATTAGAAATATGATGGGTGCTAAAGGCTGTCCATGATAGCTGGAAGTAACCCTCCGCCACCCAAAACATAGGCAGTTCATTATCTAGGACCGATACAATACAATACCTAGGACAGATACAATACCAGATGATGGAAAGATAAAGCCCAGGCAGAGCAAGTAGTAGCAGTTTATTCAAAAGTGGGAGTCAGATGGCATCTTACCCTTATTTCCTAGATGTCCAGCAGTAGTCTGCTTTATATTTAGAAACCTCAGAAGCAAAGTTATCTTTACAAGGTAGTCATTCTACAGTTCATTCCACAAAGAGCTCTATATTAAAAGGGAAAAAAAGATAGTATTGACATTCATATTTATTTTCTTCATAGGTGAACAACAGATATTTAATTTTATCTCTCATTTTCACCATGGGAATCGTGAACTTGCAAAATGAAAATGATGTTAGGATAATTTTGTCTATCTTCAAAGAAATTAAGAAACTGAACCATAAATATTTAGTGACAGAGCTGGAATTAGAGCCTTGTTTTCCTGATTCCCAACCCTTTGGTCTTTTCTCATGCTGGGAAAAATAATTGATAACTGGTATAGGTAGCATGCTTCAGTATATGTTTCTGCATTTTTTTCATTTTTTAGGACTGGAAATAAAACTGAATTATTCAAAGACCTTACTGAGTTCCCTTTAATAAAAAAGAGGAAAGATGAAATTCAAGAAGTTACTGACAAGATCCAAATACATTTGCAAGAAATACGAAAAGTACTGAAAAATCCTTCTATACAATATGTGACAGTGTCAGGACAAGAGGTAATGTCAAACATACTTTTATTTTGCATCCATTTATCTTAAATAGAAAAGTTATTTTAAAATGTAAACAAAAATCCGAAGAGAGGATGAAAGTTTGTTTTCAGATTTTCTCTTTTATTCCTTGGAAATATGATGTACTACTTTGGGTAAGAATTATTTTAATAACAGTATTTTATGTGTTTGTTTACTTTCTTGGTAAAATTATGCAACTTGATGTTACATGTGCTTTAGTATTATTTGTTGAAGTTGTATTATAGAAAACATGACTCTTGTAAATAATTACTTATAGGATTCATTTCACCTAAATCCAGGAGAAAAGAAGTTAGTCTTTGATCTCTGGCCTGCAGAGAATGAAATGATACGGAGTGAACCACCTGTGTAGGTTGGATCACACAGTGACTGAAACTCAGGGTTTCCTTCCAAAGTTGGTAGTATAGCTGCTAGAGAACAAATAGCAAGAAAAAAAAACAAACCAAAAAACCGAACTATAATGAAGACCTACAATTAGTGAGTCTTCCGTAAGATGATATAAGTGCTATTCAGAACGTGTTTTTTGGTATGCATACGTCAGTGTAAAGTTTGATATTATTAATATCTGAGTGAGAATCAGGAAGAAGTATGCTTTTTGAATGTGGTTGTATCCTTTGGTCTTATTCTGAGTCTTAAGGCATGCTATCTTATGTTTAATAAAATATAGAGATCCTAACTGAGGGAATTTGAGAAATTCTACTTCATTAAAATCGCAAATTAGGAAATTTGTGAATAATTTCCATTGGGTGGATGAACTTTTTATTCGGGATTTATTTTTGTCACGGGGAAGAGCTTAATTTCAAATAAAATCTTAAAATATTTGCATTACTTTATATATTTAGTCAAAAGACTGCTGATTTGTGTAATTATTTGAAATACGAAACCCTACAGCAGAATATAATCTTTATTAAAATATTTTTCAATCTTGTGCCATTTAATAGACCATAGTATTAAGACCATAGTATTAAGACTGACTTAATAAGATTGTCAGTCTGTCTTTTGGACTCACATCTTTAGGACTCAGGCAGATGTTTCAGTGTATTCCACATACAAGTCTATATAACAGGAAATTGATTTGACAGTATTTATACTTAGTTGCCGTCCCCCAGCCAAATATTTAATTGCATCACTTAGTTTCACTATGCAGTCTGGATCTTGCAAAACAAACAAGTGACCTTAGCCCACTGTTCCAGGCTATTTATTGAAAATGAGATGATCAAAACTGCTTACTAACAATAAAAGGTATGTAGTGGAAAATTGGTAACCACTGGTATTATAATAGGGAAACCTGGGTGTCTAAATGTCACTTTCCCCATGTACATGCTGTGTGACCAGGGCCGAATCACCTGTGTTGTGAGACTGCTCCAAAGACCAACGGAGTTAAACTACATGAGAGTATGGTTTAATCATAGGTTAATCCCACGCAAATGTTCTCCTTATATGGTAACTACTAATATATTTGTCAAGCACTTGATCAGAATGGTTCTAAGCACTGCACATATATTATTTAGCATTTGTAATAACAGAGAAAGGGGTTATTCTCATTTTGTAGTGAAGAAAACTGAGGGTTGGAGTAGTTGGGTACGTACATAAGTAAGAAGCCCAGTCCTGCCTGACTCCAGTCTTTCTACCAGTTCCTTATTTCACGCTACTCACAAACATTAACACAAGGATTATCAACATTTGGCTTTTATTTTGTGAAACCCAACGTTTTAGAGCTCAGTTTAGAACAAACTAAAATAAAGCTGAAGTCTTGGGAAGATAGCCCTGGATCCAGCTGGTAGTTTTACAGTAAAAGTGGGGAAAACTGATCAGGAATTCATATGGAATAGTAGATTAGATTTTTTTTCCTTTTTTTAATCAGTGTGGCAGTGAAGTTTAAGACAAAGCACAGAATGGAGATGAAATTGGGTTATAAATAATTAGGGAAATAAATTATCTTATTCTTTACTTAACCTTTATTAGGTTAAGGTGATGAGTTTGAGGCAAGAAATTTCTTAGTTATTAACTCTGGGATGAATTCTTACTGGTTCTTAAAAAACCTATAGAAATTGAATAGTATATCAATACAGAATCACTTTTATAACATTTTTGAGAATTAGTGATTCTATTCAAACAACAAATGAATTCTAGATATTCAGCATTGTTTTATAGTCAAATTTTCTCTTAAAAAATTGTACTAATGGTATCAACAAATTATTTAAAAAGACTTATAGGATCAAGAACAGACTCTGTTAAGTATGATTATATCTGAGAAGTGAGAGAGGAAGGCAGGAAAAAAACCCTTATTTTGTATGTGCTTCTTATTTTATACCCTTCTGTTCTGAAATTTTATAATTTTGTAATAATTTTTTGAAAACCTGTTTTAGCAGGCCTATGCAGTACATGGATTTTGTTATTAGTAAAAATAAGTAGATTGTCAAGCTAGTGATACTTTTGATAACTTTCCTTTTTTTACCAGTTCCCAGTTTTTGGAATCATTAGAATACTATAAGATGTGTGTTACTATCGCTGACTCTGAAAGTATTTGTAAGAAAATAATGAAAGCAGAAACTTAGCTCACTGCTTCTGTGATAATTTTTCTCATATTTTGTGTATATAGAGATTCATTTTTTAACCTTGAATCAAATATGGAGTGGTATTTAGATTTGAGGCAGTATTGGTAGGTAGTAGTATTCCTAAGGAAAAGGGAAGAAATATTGGGGGGGGGAAATCTTTTAAAAATTTTTATTAATGCACAGCATGCAAAATATCCAAATTCTGCTTAGTGTTTTAAGATGAGAAAAGCATTCTCTATTAAATCTTACTTCCAAAGAAAAAATATTTGGAAAATTTTTGAGAGAGAAGAAAGAAAAGAGGGAGAGTAGGAATGGGGTAAGTGTGTATTGGAGAAAACAGAGAGCAGTTTCTGAAGTGAATTAAGCAAACTTAGCAATGATGCGAGCCGAGTGATACAACAGGCTGCAGTTTGAGTAACAAACCTGACATGTTTTAACCAGGATAGAATTGGATCCCAGCAGTATATGAGAAATTGCTAGAACAAATCAAGACGTACTTCTTGCATCAACACCTAAGAAACAAAGTCAGGAACTGTAGAGCAGGGAAGGATGCTATGAGAATTCTCTAAGATTTCTGAAATACACATTAATTTCCAAATTTAGTTTCCTTTTCTGTAGCAATAAAAGTTTTAAAAGGCGTTGTCTGCTCATTCTTAGAATGTTTGTAAAAAGAAGCAAAGAGAAAATTTCCTGTTCCTTAGGCAGTATAGAAGAGGAAAAAAAAAAACAAAAAAAAACCTGCTAGTAGATGACAATTTTGAAGAGAAACCCAGCTGAGACAAAGAGGACACACAGGACCAGCACCAACTTGAAGAAGTAACCCCAGGGGTCTAACAAGCCAGGAGATCCATGGGGACCTTCCCAACTCTTACTCTCTTTTCCATCGAGTATTGGCTCTGCATATGGCCTCTTTGAGGAGCTGCTGTCCTTGAAGTAGACCCTTGATCCTTACAGATTGAACCATTATGGTCCAAACCTTCCCCAGCCTGCTCTAAAGGGCTGTGACTAGAAACGATCTGTGATGTGTCTAAGGCACAGATTTCAGTCCAGTCCCCTGTGCTGCAGTGTTAGGGCAGATGAAGCCAGCCAGCCTACCTGGCACCCAGTGATCCCACTGAGGCAGTTTTAGCTTCTTTTCCATATTTCTGTCTTCCCTACACAGTAACTCCTGTGGAGCTCTGTGTTCGTTTTTGTGGATCTAGATGTGTCCTTGCCAAGTATTCATGAGCCACTGTGACCCTGCATTTTGCTGTTTGCTGCAGGCTTAGCTCTTCCCAGAATTATTTGATAAAAAGATCAATATGCCTTTCTTGCAGGACATTTACAAATAAAGTTTAAGCAGAATTTTTTAGCATGGTCTTAATGTGCTTTTATCTTTCTTGTCAATGATATTTATCTTGTGGGTTTTTCCTCAGTTTTTGTAATCGAAGGGAGCTCTTTCAGAGTCTTGACTCTTCACTGTTTAACTGGGTGGGGCAGATTTGAAATTGTATTAATTCCTCTCTATACAAGAAGACATGATGAGTCCCAAAATTTTTTCTAAGGATGAAAATTCTTAAATTTAACCAATAATTTCTGTTTTACATTTAGTGTAAAAACTATATAGAAAAATAAACTCAAAGATAGGCCAATATTATTAATAATATGCATATTATTATATTAATGCATATATATTTATATTATAAATACCAGGAATGTTATAAAACTGGTATATGTAAAAAAAAGTTCCTGTGGCCATCTCAAAATTAGTGGTAGCAACAGAGCTTCTGGGTTTCCTCCTCTATAAAATAAGTTTGTGTGTCTTTATGCATTTAAATAAACACTGAATTTCAGTGTTTTATTTACAGTGATATAGGAGAGTGAGCAGGAAGAAGAGGTGATATACAACTAATGCTAAAAAGGAAAGGCATGACAGACGCAGTTGATTTCACTTGCTTCCTGATTGATTTCAGAAAAGCTTGCTTACAGAACACAGCTCTATAAAGATATGATTCATGGAAGTGAAAACTTTAAGAAAACTCTCATGGGAAGAAATCTCTTCTTCCCTTAATACCTGAAGAAATCAGTGCTTTTTCATGAGGATACTCTTAGGGACCTTGGGTTCTATGGATAAAAACTATGACAATAAGTCCTCTTCTGTTCAGAATAGGGGATAGGCCACATATGAAACTGGTATAGCACATCATAATTGATATTTTAAAATTGTATGTACGTAGAACTTCAGTCTTATTACTGAGTAATAGAATTCTTAAGTGGTACTAATAAATGAAAGAGGCTGTTAAAAAAAAGAAAAATCACCATTGGTAATGGCCATGACAATGTTATAGACATTAAAGTGCCAAGTTACATGCTTATTACAAACTTTTGCTCAGTACACATTGTACTTTATCCCAAGTATTGCAACCCTAATTAGTGGTATTTGGTTGTATGGACATATATGAACTTTTGTATTAACAATATTGGATTTATTTTGAATGTTTAGAATAGTATTTACTAAACTTAGAGCACAATTTTGAGAAAGGTTTAATAATGGTTAATCATTTAGATATCTAACTTTTATTTGTATTTCTTTTAGTTTATGATTGAAATAAAGAATTCTGCTGTATCTTGTATACCAGCTGATTGGGTTAAGGTTGGAAGGTGGGTTTCAATTACATTTTTTCTTACTAATGTGAATTATAATGGCATTTGTATACCTGTACACTACTGGAATGAAGATAACCACCTCCTTGACATAAAAAGTATTTCTTTCCCTTTGGTTTTCTTATGGAACTTCTCACCGAAAAAATAATTATTTTAAATTCTTTTTATCATTGGTTTAAAAATACTTTTTCCCAAGAGTATCTTGTTTGTATACACTTGTTTTCCTGTTTTGTAAATTATCATTTTATTCTTATACCTCAGAGTACACTTTAAACACATGAAAGAAAATATTGGGGAATATTCAATTATAAGATTAATTTGATTGCTTGAATTTCCTTCCTGATGAGTGCTTACCTGAAATTTCTTTTAGGAAGCTAAAATTTCATTTTCTACCTCACTGAGCTCTGCATTTCTTTATTCTTGATGCTTTCTGTGGCACATAATTATAATAGTTCTTTATGGCTTCTTTTTTGTAAGTTATATCATGAATTGATGAAAACAAATTTAATCAAAAACAGAATTAGCGAACCACATTGAGACTCCTTTTCTCCTTGATTAGACATTAATCTCTCAAAGGGGACTCATTTCAGAAGTGGTATTAGCAAAGTATATACTCCTGTGAGTAGTATTCGTTGTGAAGTATTTATTGCTACTGTTACTTATACGCTTGCATGAACTCGAGATGAAAATGTTACATTTGCCCAAGTAAGCAGATAGTAGCTAGTGTTTATATGAAAGAACTCTATTAAAGATGGAAGAAAATTTTAACATGTGTAAATGATTATAATTTAATTAGAAGGAAAAAAGGAGTATCCATTTGCCACTATCAAAGGATTCTAAAGGCACAGTCATGGGTTTCTTTAGCTCTGTTACCATTGTTTTTCTGGTTTTTGTTTTTTTGTTTTTTCTCCTGTGTTCCTGGAAGCTGTAGCTGAGATTTTAATATTGTTGATTTTAGAGGCTGTTTTCTCCTTCACAGGCTTTCTTTCCTTTATTTACTTTGTCCTATCCTACAGCTCATGAATCGAAGTATGTATTATGAAAATAAATTATTTAAAATTGTACATCTATTTATCTAAGAAGCTGAAATGTTTCACTAAATGAATTTTGTCAGAAGAGAAAGCTATGATGAATATGTTTGCATAGAAATCTAGATGACATTTCAGAAGCAACACGGAAAGGATAAATCAGTATCAACATCCTTTGAACATTCAATGATGTAAATTGAATGAATAAATAAGGTGGTTTTGGGGAGGTTCATTATTATTTTTGTCATTTGACTATCGTAAACTTGACAAGGATAGGCTGGAATATTAATCAGATTTTGAATATGAAAGTCTCACTCCTAGTACAATAACTGGCCAAATTAAACATAATTGTGACAGGAGTTGGGGAGCAAACAAAGAACAGTAATTACCCTCTTTCATCACCTGCCTATCACTCAACCCTGATCTCTTCTCAAAAGTCCAATCGAAATAGTAACATCAACAGCAGTAGCAGTCACCACCTCCACAGAACAACTCAACATTAGGGACTAAGGACATAGGACATAGATACTGTGCTAAGCACTGTCTTATTCTCTCAACAGTGCCTATGAGGTAGATACTATCATTATTCCCATTTTATAGATGAGGAAAGGGATGTTTAGAAAAGGTCACTTATATTTGCCTAAGGTCACACAAGTAGCAAGTAAGTGGTTAGTGTTAGAGCCTTGGTCCAGATTTTTTTAACTGGGAACCGATGGCATCCCCTGTTGTGCTCTACCTTCTTGATGAAGGAGCAGAGACAGTGCACAGGCCCACAAGAGGAGCACATCCTATTTGTTTCCCTCTGGGGCCACTGTGAATCTACAGCTAGATCATGAAACATTCCTCTTCTTTGATTGCTTCCTGAATTAATGCATCACTATTCATTGTAGTTCTTTATATTTTTCTGTTTTCACTGAAATACATTAATTCTACAGAAAAGTATAAAACATAAAGAATAGTAGGACTTTCATCAGTGTATCCAGCTTTGTCAAGACTTACTTGCTTCTGATCTTTTTTTTAATAAGCATTTTCATTTAGTGTAATTTAAAGAAAAAAGCCTTCTGCTTATGAAATGGAAATTCTAAACTTTGACTTTGCCATATGGATGTAATTTGAAATGCATTTCAGAGCTCCTGAACAAAGTTCTATGAACTCCAAGTACTTTATTTACAACAGAGGTCTTTGGAATCAATAGAGTTCAGCACCATAATTAAAGAATGTTCTGTGTTTACAGCTATTTACTTTCAAGGTTCATCAGAGAATGATAAATAACTACTTTAATTTTCTGAAGTGATGGCATTAGTGATTCCTTAGTAACCTTGATTTCCTATTTATGTTTCTTCCCCTCTTCTAGCACAAAAGCTGTGAGCCGTTTTCACTCTCCTTTTATTGTAGAAAATTACAGACATCTGAATCAGCTCCGGGAGCAGCTAGTCCTTGACTGCAGTGCTGAATGGCTTGGTTTTCTAGAGTGAGTTTACAATGAAAAATATAATCTGACTTTTTGCTATGAGAAACAGACTGGAAAATCTTTCCATCAAAAAGAAAAGTAGAGATTACTGCTTGTGACCTGCCATAAAATAGTTGAGTACATGTGTTCTCTGATTTTATTTTTAATCCACTGAAATGTAAGCTCATCTTAGTCTTTAATGAGAGATCTAATATACTTTATTGTTACTGTACTAATATTTAGTTGCTGAGGATGTTTGGTAGAGTCCCTTTTTGAAATGCCACCTTGGACTTCCTTTACTTATAAAAAGGCTTAACATTTTCATAGTTGGAAAAGAAAGGTTTAGTTCTGTTTTTATTATCTCCATTTAAATTTTTTTTATTTTTTTACATCCTGAATATTTTCTTTGTAACTTTTTATCTTAAAGAATTTTAAATCTGGGAAATTTGAAATAAATACCTACATACTCTTCACCTAGATTTATCAAGTTTTAACATTTGCCACATTTATATCTCTCATACACTTTTTTCCTGAACCAATTTAAAGTACAATTTAGACATTATAACACTTCACCCCTAAATATTTAATTAAGCATACATCTAAAACTAAGGACATGCTACTATATAATCTTAAGACCATTATCACATCTAAGAAAAATTATTAATTTAAGGAATATTGAGTTAATTCTACCCCCCCCCCCATTTTTAAATGAAAGCTCTATTCAACTTTCACATGTTACATTTTGTTGTTATGTTTCTTTTGTGGTTGAATCTAGAATAGTCCCCCACCTTTTTTTTTTTTTTTTTTTTTAAAGATTTGATTTATTTATTAGAGAGAGCATGAGCTGGGGGGAGGGCCAGAGGGAGAAGCAGACTTCACACTGAGCAGGAGCCTGACGGGGGCCTCGATCCCAGGACTTTCGGATCATGAATTGAGCCAAAGGCAGACATTTAACTAACGGAGCCATCCAAGAGCTCCACCTTTTGTGTTTTTTTATGAGATTTTTTTTTAAGTGTCCTTGCTATTGCTTCCAGGAATGTTTCATATTTGGACTTATTAATAGTTATGTGTTCAGATTGACAGGTTTAAGTCAATGTTGTACTGTAAAGAAGAGGTTAACAGCCAGTTCTTTGGAAGAATAGTAGTGTTTGTGGTGTTTGCTGGCTACTGTAGCGTAAATACTCCTACTGTGGTTGATTTCAAGCTGCTGCTGGACTGAAGTTGGGAAGAGAGGTGTACAGTTGCCTTTCATGAGTCCTTAGCGAAAAGCCACTCATCTAAGCACTTCAGGTATATTAGGCCCTTATTCCTCCCAAGATCTCTGGGACTGAAATATTATCACCCCCAATTAACAAATGAATAAAGAAGTAAGTTGCCTACATTGGGTTGGAGCCAAGATTCGATGCAGGGTGTCTGGTGGTAGCTTGTGCCCTTTACCATCAGGCTGTAGAGCTTGCCTTTGGTGAACCTATAGGCATCACTCTAAACAGAAATCTCTTTGGTAGTCATTCTCTTTTTCTAGGTAATCTTTTTGAAATTTGGAAAAGTGTAGCAAATGGACAAAGATCAAGAAGTCAATCAAGACTTTCTAGGTTATGATAATGATGTTAAAGGTTTATGATAGTGTTTCATTTTATTCACGTGTCTTATTTATATAATTGACATGAGAAAGAACATTATTGTCTATATCAAAATAATTACCTTATCTCTCTGCCTTATTTTTCCTTATTTTTTTTTTTTAACTGAAATGGAACCCACTGAGAGCTATGTCACTCAGTTCAGTCTCGGACACTAGAATATCATGAGAGACAGTTACCCTCAACCTAAGGCTCCTAGATAATAGCAAATTAATTAGGGTCTTAGTGGCCCGGATAAGAGCTGAGAAGCAGTGCGTGATAGTGAAGGAAAAAATGACTGGTATTTAGTGCCAAAGATACTTTGATACTCATATTCCAGAGAGGCAAGAGCAGAGATATCAAATATGGCTGCTCTCTGGCAAAACAGAGTGCCAGGATAGGAAGGGCTAGAACAGGGGCAGAAGACAACACAGTCCAACACATAAACCAGTGGTCAGATCTAAAATTGAAGTCAGCCCAGGAATGACAAGGCATGATCACTGCGCAGTCACTCAGAAGTGTAAGGTTCGTGTAGCATGTGGCGTCTTCAAAATGTGGCATCTTCATTTTTAAGGTGGCAACTGAGCATTGCTTGTCCGATGCCAGGGGTGAGTCTTCTCAGTCTGAGTTCGGGATTTTCCACAGACTCTTAACACTGTTCGTGGGATTCTTGCTTGTTTAAATGAACCTTAATTCAGTGAGAAATAGGTAAATTATATTTATTATGTTCTAACTATTCAGATATAAAAGTGTAAAATATGCTATAAATATATTTCCCAATTCATAAAGTTAACACAAAAATATGACTGGGTACTTAAAATGTTGTTTCTGTTATCTGGAAAAGTCATTTACATAGAATACCTTATTATAATATTACTAGAAAAATCATATTACAGATTCCAAAAAATCAATATAGTGATAATATAGGAATAACTGATCACATAGTAAATTAACCTGGATATCCTTTTCAAGGTAGGAAGCATTCTAAAACTTATGGATTTAAGAAGCAGATTAAATCTCAAAGTTTCTGAAACCCATAGTACAACAGAGAAATCATTTTTAACAGAAGAATTCAACCTAGTAATCTATTTTGGGGGGAATCTTCTTTGAAAGGGATACCTGTGGTATGAAATAATGGAATAATTTGGTGTGTCTGGGTGGCACAGTTGGTTGGACGTCTGACTCTTGGTTTCAACTCAGGTCATGATCTCAGGGTCATGAGCTTAAGCCCTGCATCAGCTCCGTGCTCAATGGAGAGTCTGCTTGAGAGTCTTTCTCTCTCTCCCTGCCCCTCCTGCTTGTGCTGTCACACTCTCCAAAGTAAATAAATTTTTTTAAAAATATAGAAGAAAAAAAAATGGAATAATTTAAGTTAAAAAAAAATAAAAGGAAAAGCACTTGCCTACATTCCTGTATTTTTTCTGAATAAGTCTTTCAATAAAAGGTTTTAAGCCTTTAGATCAGAACCTATTTAATTAGTCAAAGATTTGAGGCACTAATCATTATTTTTTCAAATCTAAAATTTAATTTATGTATGCATTATTAATAAGATAACTGAAGATCACTGAAAAAAAGTACTTTATTTGCTTGCTTTTAACGAAATTTATTGCATCGTCTCCTGCATACCAAAGTTACTGGCTAGATGTTTGTGCCAATAATGATAGGAAAATCAGACAAAGGTGGACCCCAACATCGAGAACCTTCCCATTCGGTGTGAGAGAAAGATACTGAAACTGTTAATCCTAGTTTGGATGATGATATGAAGGAGAAGCACAAAGGCAAACCGACTCATCTGGGTAGTTCATGTTATTTAAGCTGAGTGAAAATGACCACGACATTTGTGTTCATTGAATCTAGTTGACATGTCATGGTCAAATGAAATGTGCAGTACAGTATTAGAAGCAGGCATCTTTATATAGAAGCTATTGTAAAGGTATGTACTTCCATCCAAATGAAACAAAAGAAGCCTCAGGAATCAAGTTACTACATTAAAATGAGAAGTCGTCCAGAGTAATTTCCATGTTTCTTAACTGTTAGGTATCATCCTTGGTTATTTTGTTGATGCTCATCTTAGCTAATAAAGCGATCCCATATTGAGCAGCTTATACAGGTCCAAGAAATTGGTGTGTTCACCTCTTTGTTGTCACCTCTGTAGGAATTTCAGCGAACATTATCACTCCTTGTGTAAAGCAGTACATCACTTAGCAACTGTTGACTGCATTTTCTCCCTGGCCAAGGTCGCTAAGCAAGGAGATTACTGCAGGTAATGTATTTTTTAACTCTTCCCTCTTCTTCAGTGCTTTAGATCAGATGGCATCATTCCATTAATTTTAGTATTTTTATTATTAAATATTAATATATGCAAATATGTTGGACCCTTGGTAAAGCTGAACGTCATACACGTATAGCTTGATTTAAAATTAACAAATCCCTTTCTTGCTTGCTCTATCATTGAGTACAATGAAAGCAGATGTTCACAGTAATCTAGAGGTGAATGTTATATATTTCAATTTTTAAGCTTATCTGGGTGACATTTTTTTAAAGGTGTAATCCTTTCATTTGTTAGCTTTGACTTGAACACTTTGTAGTATGTTTCACTTTATAAGTCTCCTTTAAATGACAACTAAATCAGATGGATGAGACTCAATGTGTGATCCATTTCGAGACAGTGTCTCTGTTGCTATTAAATTGCTCTTAAGTTTAAAACCTTAAGCTTGAGCCACATCTTTGGCTCATTGCTCTGCTTTCCAGGCCCACTGGGTTAGGGATTCCCACCTTCCAGAACCACTGGGGCAGCAGTCTTGTTACCGTAGTTTTGCAGGTCAAATGTTGGGCCCCCAGAGCTCTAGGCCATTTTGCCCCTTTGGTGGTCCTGTGCCTGACCCCGCCGCTGAGGTGGTTCTTTGTGGTAGTCCCACGGCTGCTGATGCTCTGTGCCTGGACTCCCTCCTGTGGCTCTCCCAGCCTGGAATTTTGTGCTGGTGGCTCTGTGGTTCTGGAGAACATTGGCTATTGAGGTCTGGCTCTCTGTGGGCTCTTTTATAAAACCACTAGCCCATTCACAAGGGCTCTGCCCTTATGAACTAATCACCTTATATAGTCCTGACCCACAATCCCATCACATTAGGTTCATATGAAGCACTCTGAAGCATGAAGTCTATTTTTTCATATACTTAAGGAAATTTAAGGGAATATTTAACTCACTGGCTTTCTAAAAAAAATATATATATAGAAGTGATTCTGCTTATCAGTGCTTTAGCATACAGAGTTCATTATGTTTGAGAGGATATGTTCTGCTGTTCATACTTCTTTCATGTTCTCTCTAGTTTGTGCCAAATACAGTTTTGTTTTTTTTTAACATTTAAATGTTCTTTATACCTAGCATAATACCCAGAGTGGATGTTAAAAGATAGTTTGTTTATTGTAAAGCATTTATTTATTTATGGGAGAAGAGTTGCAGGAATTGGCTACCCCAGTTTTAGACAAAAATGTACTTAGTTTGCTGTTTTGTTTCATTTTGTTTTGCTGTCCATTTATGTATGGGGTGATCTACCATGCTGTGCACAATAGTTTTGTTTAAAATAGGCTCTTTGTGTCTTCATTATTACTCAGTTTCTTTTCACATCAGAGGGCTTTGAAAATTTTGTGCAATTTATCATCCATAAAAATGAGTAAATATACTCTAGTTGAAACGAGTTCTGGAAGAATGAGAGTCTGTCTTCCTCTGACTTGATTTCTTCCTTACGTACTGTGGTCTTTGTAGGACTTCTTACTTGGTGCACAAGGTTCGTGAAGCTAACATTTCCTAATGGATTCTGTTTGTGAATTAAGCAAAGGATCAGCTACAATCTGTACGCTTGGTGTATGTTTTCATGCAAAGCTCTTTCCACTGAAAAATACTTAGGCTTGGTTTATCTCTTCTTAAACTCTTTCAAGTGGCCTTTTGCCATCTGCTGCTGCTAGAGCAGCTAGTGAGAACAGAAGAAACATGTCTATGGGTACGTGGTTTATATTATATCAGATTTAAGTTTTCATATCTGTATGTGTGTATATGTTTGTAAGCCTAAACATACATATGTATTACACATAATATATAATTTAAAGTAATACATAATTTTCAGTGCATTTTAATAACCAGAATCTAGCTTTGATATCAGGTTTGGTTCTAGCCCATCCTCTGTCACTAATTAGCCATGTATTCTTGTTTAAATCTCAAGTATTCATATATAAAATTTTAAGAATTGAAGTTATGAATTAGTAAGTGGCATAAATCTTAAAGTTGTAGGTATTTTTTATTGAGATGTAGTTTTGGCAAAATCTCTGAGGAGTGAAAATACTATAAAACTATGATTAATTTGTAGACTCATCAGAGATTTAACAAACATTCTGGGTATCTACAATATAAGTTTGGTCCTAGATTTTTCATTTCGGGGCTTCCTCTTCCATTCTTAGATGTTTTTGAATTCCTCGTTGTTTTGATTATATTACAAACATTGTATTTGGAGAGTTGCTATTTTCTATACTTTATCTAATTTTCCCATTTGTCTTCAGGAGGACATATTTTCTTTCAAATGACGTATTCTCTTAGGAAGACAATTTCAGGAAATATTTCACATGCTAAAATACTTTCCAACTTGAGTACTATATATTAAGAAAAATCCACCTGAATATTTTTAAATGAAAAAAATCATGCTATAAAGTTCAAGGAATATAATCAACTTCTCTTTTTTATTTTTTTCAGCAGAAATAAAATTGAGTGTAAATAGCCATAAAATAGGAAACTTTTCACCAAAATTCATTTTAAGCTGGTGATAAAGTATCTGAAATTTGTATCTCCCCCCCCCCCCTTAGATTTCCAGCTTGTTTAAAGATTTTAGTGCATTTGAGCTATTGCACTTAGTTCAAATTGATACTTTGGCTTCGTAATCACAATCTTTTCTTCCTAAATGCTCTTCGGACCTTTTATTCACTATAGCCTAACTTTGAGGCAAAAGTTCTTATTCTAAGTCTTTCTATCCGTTTTTTATTCTGGGTGTTATATTGTTTTACTAATTATGTTCTGTTTCCTTGAGGCATTTAAAGGGGAAAGATGCAATTTCAAAAATACAAAATAAATTTGTTCAAGTTTAAGGTTTCAGTCTTTCCAGGCAGCATCCAAATTTCCTCAGCTCTTCTTAAATGCCATATCATCAACATGATTTTCGTATCCTTCTTGCTATAACTATCCAATGCTCGTGCATCATCTCATCTCTCCAGATTATGATTTGCTTCTTATTCCACTAGGAAGTGTTTTGTCATTATATAATTTTGATAGCAACAGAGTAAGTCAGTGTAGATTTTTAGAGCAGAGCAAATCACTCAAAATTTTATTCTAAAGTGAAAACCTTCCTGGGAAATCATATCAGTGTCATGAATAATGATCTATCGATTTCACTTGGCAGAACACCTGAGATTTTATTTTAAAACTGATATTACTTGCAGATGCTTTCATTTTTTATAGTAAATTTATAATGCACCTAAATAAAAAATCCTATCTTTAGAATTAAACTTTTTGAAAGCCAAAAAAATGTTCTTTTCCCATCATTTTTTTTTAAAGATTTTATTTATTTATTTATTTGACAGAGAGAGAGATCACAAGTAGGCAGAGAGGCAGGGAGAGAGAGAGGGGGAAGCAGGCACCTGACCGAGCAGAGAGCCCGATGCGGGGCTTGATCCCAGGACCCTGAGACCATGACCCAAGCTGAACGCAGAGGCTTAACCCATTGAGCCACCCGGGCACCCCTTTTCCCATCATTTTAAAAGTCTCTTTCCAATGGATAATTTTAAATTATTTACTCCGAAGGTACTTTAGTTGTTTTCTTTGAGAAATGTGAGTGTACATACTTGGGGTTTTGTTAGCCAGATATATTTAAGGAAAAGCATTTAAGTATTTAGGGAAATAATATTTCTAAGTGTTATGAGTAAGGTCAGAAATGTGCTTATATGTGGAAGTTCTGAGTCAAAGCACTTAGTAATCGATGAGTGCTAGTTAACAAAGTTCAAGAACACTGTTCACCCAACACATTGTTGGAAATTAGAAAATTTGATAACAACTACTTTAGGTGAAGTTATGAAAAAACAAGTCAAGTTTCATATCCTGCTGGTGGGAAGTTAAATTGATATAGTATTTCTGTATGTTAAAATAAAAAGTATGCATACCCTATGACTTAGAAGGTACACTTCAGGAATTTACTCTGGCTTAGAGAAGCATTTGTCCATGTGCCAATGGACATAAATGTAAGATTGATTGCAGTATTGTTTATAACAGTGGAAATCTAGACACAGTGTAAATGTTTGACAGTGGAGAACAACTGAATTGTCTGTGAAGCAGCTTCAAAAGAACACTGAAGATCTGACAAGAAATGATCCTGAATCTTAAGTATAGCATCCCATCAGGTTCCACTGGACCTAATTTCACTTTTTAAATTTCTTAAAGGCCTTTTAAAGAACAAAGAGAAAATTCACATTTTTCTTTAAAGGAGAATAAAATCCTGTTTTGCATTTACCATATGGGTCCATTGGACCCTTTTATAAATCTGACGTGTACTTTGGGATCTTTAATGATTTTTATCTTTTCTGTATCTGGAGCATCTTGCTCTTTCATCATTCTAGAATTACTTTGTATTATTTATCAATTAGTTCTACTAAAAAGACCAAATGTAAGAAAACTAGAGAATGACGATACAGAGGTAAGATAATAATCACTACCACCCCATCCTTCCTTGTTCTAATTGTATCGCCCAAAGTGCTGCATCGTTCTTCAGGAAGTTGTAAAAGACTAAAAATAGCACTGTTGTAGTCTAACTACAACAGTTATTATAACTGTTACAGTTATAATTAATTAATTTCTATTGATGTAATAATTAACTTTCACATATTATAACTGCTGCTTCTAACTTTCATTGAACAGAATTGAGAATTCCGAATTTTTAAGTTTTTCACCCATAATAGAAAAGGCGAAAAAAGAAAGAAGATAATTCACAATTATCAGATTAATCAAAAGATGAATGCGAAGAGAAAGATAGCAGTGCTCTAGATACTACCGATGATGAAATTTCTTGTATAAACAAAATCTCAGATCGTAAGTGTTCAGGTGACAGTGGCCTAGGTGAATTTTCCCAAGCTTAAGAGTCAGTGTGTGAATAATGTATTTCTAAGGACAAAATGGAATGTGTTCTTCTCCAGTTAGTTACTCCACAGGCATCACACATCATACAACATTTGCTGACGAGAACCTGAACCATCCTGACATATAGTGGTTCCTTTGTCTTTTGTGATGTCTATGCACTAAGGTTTACCTAATACTGTTTGTAGGTGTACAGGTGCTGAAGGCAGAAGATTAAAAGAAGATAGATGTTGTGAAATAAAAGTATTGATTGGATCGGTTACTCTGATTTGGTATTTATAAATATAAAACTGAAAATGTTTTGCATTTGTGGAGCAAAAAAGATGGCTGTCCTCTCCTCAACAAAATGATAGCTTTAAATATTTTTAAAAATCCAAGTATTGCATTTTTGTCCATGCAAGTAGGAGAAGAACCCAAAGTTATGATAAGCTAGAACATTTTAGGAATGTATGGAAATCTAGAATCAGTATTTATGAATGACTGTGGTCTAGGTGCATGCACGACAGCTAAGGAGCAGTTAATTACTTTGAGAGTGTGTTGCCCATTCCAAGTATATTGCCTCTAAGTCCAGGAAAATGTGGAATAAAAATTTGAGATTTGCTCTGTTTAAGTTCTCACTAAAATTTGTCTTGGGTTTTTTGTTTTGTTTTGTTTTTACTACCCCTTTGTTGCCACTTCTGCAAATTATTTGTAAAATGACTTGAAAGTATTAAAAAAAAAATAAGAGTCCAGTGGTAAATGGTGAAACCTATTTTTTTAAATATGTATTGAATGTGAAGGGGAAAAATGTAGTTATGGAATAATATATTACAGTGTGATCCTGATTTGTTTTGCTGTTTTTGTTTTTTTTTTTAATTTTATTTATTTTTTGACAGAGAGAGATCCCAAGTAGGCATAGAGACAGGCAGAGAGAGACAGGGGGAAGCAGGCTCCCCACTGAGCAGAGAGCCCGATGCGCGGCTTGATTCCAGAACCCTGAGATCATGACCTGAGCCGAAGGCAGAGGCTTAACCCACTAAGCCACCCAGGCGCCCTGTTTTGCTGTGTTTTGTTTTTTTTTTAAAGAATCACAAATCAGTGCAATGAGTGTGTAAAAACCTAAATTCAGAGAAGAAAGTTGGGAAGGGTAGACACCACACTGATCTCCGGGGAGGAGAATGAGGGGAGGGCAGTGCTCACAGGGGCTTTGAAAAATAAATAAAGCTATAGATAAAAACAGAAAAATATAAAAGCTAAGAAAGGAAGACCAGCAAGGTAAAAAAAAAAAAAAAAAAAAAATTTTGTATCAAAAAAAGCGAAAGATACCAAAGACCATAGAAAGATGTTTCACTTAAACAGGATTATGAAAATTTAAGGTCTCCAAGTCTAACACATAACATAATTTCTACTAATGTAATAATTAAATCTGGAAATAATATTCAGTGACTTCCTTTATAATGCTTATTACTAAAAATGATTTAAGTGGCAGTAATCTGAACTGTAACTTCTAGTAATGAAAATGTTGATCTTAGAGAATAGTAGGGAAAACAAGATCTTGTAAAGTAGACTTCAGCAGTGGAGCTATTGTAAGACTGCTAAAGTTTGTGCTTTGAGCACTATTATTATAATAACTGTCCTCCCAATTCTTATTTTATAGTTAAAATTTAGCTTTTATACTCGAAGCCTTATTTTGGGTGTGTGTTTACTTAAAGTCTAACATTATTTCTTATGCTAGAACTTAGAGATTTTTTTAAAAGGCAGTTTTCATGCCTAGTAAATTGAAACATGCTTCTTTTGGCAGACCAACTCTGCAGGAGGAGAGGAAAATCGTGATTAAAAATGGTCGGCACCCTGTGATTGACATGTTGCTGGGAGAACAGGATCAGTATGTTCCCAACAGTACGAATTTATCAGTAAGTACCACATGATGCCAGTAAACAAGTCAAAGGTGTTAACACTGATCCAAATTTTTAAATACAAAATAAGTATTTTTGTAATTTACTCAGGATTTAACTTTGGCGTTAAATATAGTAATCTTGGGCTGTAGTTTTATATTCAGCACCAAGTATGGAGTTGGTGTCACTTCCAATGAGAGATTAAATGGAAAGATTTAGCAACTAAAGGGTTAGTCTTAATTAGTTATCCTAGGTAACCCCTATACATAGTTTTCATTTATAAATGCCCAAATATGCTAATAGGGTGGAATCATACTGGAGTTTTTGCAAATTTCTAGTAGTGTTTAATGCTATATGTTTGTCCTGTCTTTCAGTATTTTAAAATGTTCTGCAAAAGAATTGGAGATGCCTCAGCTGATTTTGTTGATGAGAACTTTGTCACACGGGCTAACGTTCTCTCTCTCACAGAACATTAATGACCCTAAAGATTTATTCATTTAACATATACTTACTGTATTCCTATTTAGTTTCAGGTAGTGAAACAAGTATTAGGACAGGGAGTGGTAAGCAGGACAGAACTATTCCCTGCCTTAAGGTGCTGTGATCAAGCAAGAGGGTAGCCAGGCTGTTATAATACACAATATAGGAAACCATGTTGTCCTGGGAGCATGTAGCAAGGTCAGCCTAACTTAGTGTAGAGGGAGCATCGAGGAGGGTTTCTTGGGGATAAGATACCAATTGAAGACGGAGTCAGTGTAGGCCAGGGAGGTGGAGAGCAGTATACCAAGTCCAGGAACCAGTGTGGCAGAGGCTGCGAGTGAGGCAGAGCAGGGTGAATTCAGGGAAGTGAAAGATGGTGAGTGATGTGGAGCATAGAGTGTAAAGAAGGGTTCAGATATAAGGAAGAGGCCAGTTTGCTCATTGCCATATTAAGGAATTTTGATATTTTTTCCCCCCTAAGAGAATGAGAATACCAGCAACAGAATATTTGAAGCTCTGAAAAATAGCAAACTTGTGGGATGGAGTGTGTGTGGGTGTGTGTGTATGTGTGTGTGCGCGCACGCGCCTGCCTGTGCCTCTGTGTATGTGTGTTTGTGTTACATAGAGTTACATTGTCAAAGATATAGCCATACGCTAATTGAAGTGATATAATCGTAGATTTTATTCAATAATGTAATTGCAGTAGAGAAAAGAGTCCAGTGTGAACTGAACTCAACTTCAGTTTGTGCAGAGGTGACTGGGTGTTTTGAAGGGAGAATGAGGGACTGGGGGGAGGAAAGAGGGAGGGTGGAGGGTTATCTTGCAGATTCAAGGGAGTCGAAATTATAAAAAGCAGGAAAGGGTATTAATGTGAAACCCCTCTGGGTTTACTGACTGGCATCTGGAGCGTATGCCCTCACACAGGGAGTAGAAGGAAAGGGAGTTATCTTCTAGAATGTTTGTATTTCAGAGATGGCTCGCCTCTTCTAGGTTGCAGAAGAGTTACACCTCAATAAGGCAGAGAAAGGATTTATAACTGTAAGCTTTCTGAAGTCATTGCTTTAAGAGGAAGTTCAGGGGCCTTTGTGCCTGTTGTCAGGTTTTGGCTGGAACAAGCCGTAAATTTTCCTGCCAGTCTTGTACTTTTTTAGGTAGGAACTTAAAATGAGTTTGGGATTATCCTAAGAACATGGCCATGAACTAACTTAGTGGGAGGAGTAAACAAAATCATTTCTGTTGAAAGTGTGAGTTTTTATAGGACGAGACTGAAGCCTAGCGGAGAAGAGGGCTCAGGACTAGAGTTTGGTTAAGGTAAAGAGCATCTATGTCAACATCAAGTGAAATAATCTGGTGGTGAGATCGGAGAATTAGTATGTAGGGAGGAGCTAAGGGGGAGAGGTCGTTGTATTAGAGAATGAATGTCCAACTTTAGGATTTCGGAGGCGGCAAGTCCTAGGTATGGCCATGGAAGATGAGTAGCAGACTGGAAAAGAAATCAAGGAACAGAGTCTGGGAAAAAGTCGCCCACGTAAATGTTGAAATCATCTAAGAGAACATCAGCATTTGGAGGGGAAGCTGACGGTGTTCTAGGTGTCAGGGATGGAGACTGGTGACCTGGAAGTTTGTCAATACCTGAAGTGAAGACAAGCAGAGAGGGTGGTCAGGTTCTAAAGAAACAAGTAAGAACACGTAAGAAGGAACCTCTGAACTCTGAGATATGTGTGGTAGGAAGTGGCAGAAAGCTCAGCCTCCAAATGAACCATAGCCAGGTTTCAGTTTAAGCCTGTTTAAAAGAAATGGTAAGCAAGGATATTAGAAACATAGAAGGAGTTGGGACTTTGGGTCAGTGGCAGAATTGGGATGTAGTGCAGCAGCTAGAAATTAGGTCAGAGAAAGGAAGCCCAGAACAAACAGCAAGGGAGTTGAGAACATAACAGAGTACTCCCTCTTGGGCTGTGAGCAAGGGCGACAAAGGTGTGCATGTGGTGAATTTGGCTACAGCTGTGGTGAGTGAAAGGAAATGCTTTCAGTTACGTTTAGTTTAATATTACATTTGGATGCAGCACATAGATTTGTTGGTAGTATATAACCTGATCCCCAAAGTCTATAAACTTGTTCATTCTCATGAGGGAATTTGTAATTGACTTAATTTATCAAGCCAAGTTAACACTTCTTGATGCTTTATTGACTTTTAAAGGAAGGCTATGTGAACATGAATTTCTTTTTCAGTTCTCACAATACCAGTGGGGTATAGCTTTTCTTGAGAAAGTAATATAGTTGCAACATTTAATACCTTGGTTTATATTTTGCTTATAAATCACTTGAACATTATTTCCTGTTACTGTTCCCATCCCCTAGCATGCCCACCAGCTCAATCCCAAGTATGTTATTCTTGACATTGGGTTTTTTTTCCTTTGCTTTTTCATTATTTTTTCCCTCTTTTGCTTTCTTTTAAAAATGCATTACACTATTTAATAAAGCAAGATTTGAGAAACTAAACTAGCCTTTTGCCTAATTATAAGAATGTTTTAAGGAAACATTAAACTTTTATATTTAAATTTTTACAAAATAAATGGAGTGATTTTTTTCCAGTAGGCACTTCAGAATATTCCAGAATATTCCTTTTTTTTACATATGCTTTTTCTAACTTGAGTAGGAGTTGATATAGAACTGTTGCTATGGTGAAGTGCATTCTATTTTACAGGGTATAAATTTATATATAGGGATAGTGTTGAAAAAGAACTTACTATGTAAAACTCAATTTAAAATATTTTATAGGTGTTAATTATAAAATATAGCCTGAAAATAATTTCCTGAAAGTCAAATGACATTGTTGCTTTTGATAATCATGTAATTTTAAGAAATGGTCTTTTGTACATGTGATTATAAGTGTACTTTTCTGGATTCTGTGTTAAGTGAACTTATTATAGTCCTTCTGAACAAGCCAACTTTCTGCCTACTTTTCTGCTCCCAGTTTTAAGAATACTCTTCACATTTCATAATCTGGCATTTACTTTGTATTTTTATTAGCATTATTTTATGAATATTTTGTTCTTAGAGATTTTGACACACTTTATGTCAGTATTGTGCTTGAGATCAAATTACACAGAAGAAAGACACAGAATACCTTCCTAATCTGGTGGGAGACACACTCAATTAAATTAATAGTAATAGAATACTTAAAAAGGCCCTGAAGGAACTAACAGATTACATGGTAGAAAAATTGGCTTTAAATGAGGAGGCATTTCAAAGTAGAGGATATCCAAATGGTATCTAAGAGACTAACATTTTCTTGACCTGCTATATATTAGCATTTCTAGAATGCAAGAATATAGCAAAGGATTAAATAGAGAGGAACTATGAACTTTGAGGTGTTTGGGGGACACTGGGTAGAGATCCTAATGGGAACATGGATTGATGGATATGAATAGACCAGGAGAGGGGTCTGAGCTGGAGTTACAGATTTTAGAATGATCATGACGTATGTACAGCAGTTTTGATTCTGAATCCGTCAGAGAAATTACATGAACATGTAAAGAAGACTGATGAAAAGGCCCTCTCAAGTACTAACACTGAAGGTTGATTTCAGTTTCACTGAAAGTAGGTTTAAGATTTTTTTTTTTTTTTTTTTATTTGACAGATCACAAGTAGGCAGAGGCAGGCAGAGAGAGACAGGAGGAGGAGGCAGGCTCCCTGCTGAGCAGAGAGCCCGATGCGGGACTCGATCCCAGGACCCTGAGATCATGACCTGAGCCGAAGGCAGAGGCTTTAACCACTGAGCCACCCAGGCACCCTGAAAGTAGGTTTAAACGAAAACTTTTTTAAATTATTAAGGCTATATATTTATTAGAGAGTAAGAGTGAGAGAGAGCACAAGCAGGGGTTGCAGCAGAGGGAGAGGGGGAAGCAGGCTCCTCACTGAGCAGGGAGCCCGACAAGGGGGCTCAATCCCAGGACCCCAAGATCATGACTTGAGCCGAAGGCAGACGCTTTACCTTACCGACTGAGCCACCCAGGTACTCCGAACTTTTTAAGAAACTTTTAAACATATTTACCATACCTTGTTTTCAGAATTTAGAGATATAGTTTAATCTGAAGATCACACTTGTTATAATGGTAACCAGATGTTACTGTATATTCCTTTCTATCCTTTGGGACCTGGCTCTTCTACATCTTCTAGGAAACCTCAGTTTGACTTCCCCAAGCAGAATTGAAAGGAATACTCTTTTAAATCCTCTCTTTGTTTCCTACCCTGATTCACTATATAATCTGAGTGTTTGTAGACTCAGCAGCGTGGGATCTCCCACCTCCATCTTGCCCCTCTCCAGCACATTTCTGCATTCTGCAGCCACAGGGCTTTTCCTAACCTGTCCTAACACTCTCCCATTTAAAAGCATGCTTAAAATTCCAGCCATATAGTTCCCAAGTTACTGTGCTTCTGGGACTTGGCAGATGGTATTCCCTCTGCCTAGAATGTCATCTTTCTCCATACCATCCACTCCTGCCTCACACACACCCACAGCCCACCCCACCCTCTAG